CACTGAGCCATCTCCCGTGTCCTGTATTCCGTTTCCCCACAGTGCCAGTGCTGAAGATGGGAGGCATGTGCCACAGTGCTTGGCTCCCGAGTGCTTCTTGGTACTTAAGATTTTAGTCCTTTGTTGCATGTGCTGTCTGTTCTTCTTTGAGACAGGATCTCCTGTAGTCCGGACTGGCCTCGAACCCACTGCATAGCTGAAGATGACCTCCAACTGCTGATTCTCTTGCCTCTCCCTCCCAGGAGCTGGTTGCTTCAGGATCATTGGGAACATCAGTGTCTCTGATATACCCGCTCAAGTTTATAATTTTGTCCTTGCAGGTTTTTTTTTTTTTTTTGTGTGTGTTTTATTTTTTCTCTGAAAGATTTGAGTTGTATGTGGGCAAATGTAAATTTTTTATAATTGTTTTGTTTGGAAGGCTGGCCCCTTTTGATATGTAAAATACCAGTATTGCTTTTTTAAGTGAAGAAATTTGAAAATACATCTTAATTCAAAAAATACAAATTGTTCATGAAAGCATCATGCAAAGTGAACAAATTTTTTATGAAGATGTGAAGTTTGTGTTAAGTCTTTGGGTCACAGTATCAGTTGTGGTGTGAGTACTGAGGTTGGTTTCCAGCTCTGTTGCTTCTGTTTAGCTCTCTGTTCTTCAGGTGCCATTTAGTCATTCCATTTTGCCATCTTTGAAATGCTAGATTCGGGTTGAGGAGCGAGATCACCACTTCTTGGCCTGGGCTACATAGAGGGGTCTAAGCTATCTAAGCATCTTGAAGAAAAGCAAGACTTTACTTCAGGAAGCTCCCTCATTCCCATTCCCCTAAAAGTCACATTGGAGACCCCTAGAGGTGATGAGCTTGGCTCTGCAGATCCCAAGTTTCTTGGTCCTGTTTCAGCAGTTGGTGACAGGGCTGAGTGCAGAAGCCAGCTGCTATGACTCCTAGATCATGTTAACTGCACGGTGGACTTCTAGGCCCAGAGAGGCGGCCTGGTACCTGGGCTAGAAAGCATTGGGTTCAAGGGTGAGGAGCCTCCTTTCAGAACTGCCACAATGATGGGGAATCACCTTTAGCTCTGTTCGAAGTGGCTTTTCTGAGCCTCCTGTGATTTGGGTGAAGCAGCAGATGGCTCTACCCTAATCTTTCGATTCTTTCTTTTCTCTTCAGAAAACAACATGGAAGCCAAGTTCCTAGGGAATGCACCTTGTGGCCACTACAAGTTCAAACTCCCCAAGGCAGTTCGGACAGAGAGTGACATTGGGGTCAAAATCTTCTTCTTCAAAGCTCTGCTACTCACAGGAGACTTCCCACAGGCTGGGAAGAAGGCCCGTCATGTGTGGGCCAGTAAGGAAGAGCTGGGCGACTACCTGCAGCCCAGGTACCTGGCTCAGGTCAGGAGGTTTCTTCTGGACTCCTGATGGATGCAGCCGCTTGTGGATGATGCGCACATAAGTCAAGTGCTAGGACCTCAGGAACAGTGCGGATGCTCATTTACAGGGACAGTCAAGCACCAAACTAAATTCTGAGAATTAAATGTGTTTGTCAGTGTCTTGGATTTTGATTTGTCCTTGAGGGACAATTGGCTTTGCTATATAGCAAGTTAAAGCATTATGTTATAGTGACTTAACAGACCTACGGGGCCTGGAAGAAAGAACAGAGGAAATGAATTGACCTGAATTCCTGAGTTCTGAGAAAGTTTCTGGGCTCATGAAAAGCCTAGTTATGTAGCTTCTTAGCTGCTTTCCATTTTTCCCTTTCCGTTAGATAGGAAGGACATATCTCCTTTCTCTCTCCCTCCGTTTTAGAAGTTTTATATTTAGATGGGGATTAATCACTTCTTAACTGTTTAGTACTGGTCATTTGAAATAAAGTGACTTCTCTCCAACCTACCAATGGAAGAATCATGACCAGGTCATGATATGCATCAGAGTCGAAGCTGGCGGTACCCAGGGAGATTGCTATTTTCTTGCCTCTGGGATTGGGGCCCTGGCTATGAGTATGGTGTTTGGGTCATCACTCATCCCCAGAAGCTGGCATACAAAGCACAAATAAACACTTGCCACAGAGTGTAGGTGACTCAGATGCAGTGTCTGCTCAGAATGGTCAGACAGTTACAGACCCATCACTCTTCCTGGTTTCCTTACACACAGACTTCTGGGTAAATTGCCCGCCCTTCGATGTGAGCTTGTGAAGTGTGATCTGTTTCCACACTAGATGGTGCCTGCTGTTCTTGCATAGAGTTGGGGAGTTTGCTTTTTCTGATCACGATTGGGTCCCTAATCCTGTTGCCTTTCCTTGCCCTTGGCCGCCTCATGGCTTCTCTGATAACTGATGTCCCCTGGGGGAGGCTGGCTCATCAGGAGCAGCTAATGGTGCCTTAGAATGGTTACAGCCATAGGGTGCACTTTCTGGATTTAGGAGTGTGTGTGAGGTCTGTGAACTGCTTGGCCTGCTGTCGAACCCAGAAGGCCGAGCTATGGGTTATTTTTGTGTACATTCATAAGAGCCTGTTGTATTGCTTGTGTATTTGCTTTTATTTATTGGGGTGCCAGGGATCCAGTCTAGGGCTCTGTGTATGTTAGGCAAGCACTCCAGACTGCCACATGCTCAGCCTACATCCATGCCTCTAGTGGTAAATAGCATGTATGTAATCAGAAAGCTGAGAAACGGTGTCAGAATAACCTGGCATTCTGCAGTTCTGTGAGATAGGCCCCAGAATATCAATAGTTTGAGAAAACTGGGGACAAAATTGAGTACTTTAAGGAAAAGCTGAAGATTTTAGACATGCCTTCCTTTATAGCAAATAGACTAGTTTAGCAACAGGAATCCCTAGTAGCCTTTCTAGGGGTTCACCTATCTGGGGAAAAAAAGTGGAAAGGACAGGGCTCTGAGGGTACCCCAACCTGCTTGTTTTTAAAAAAATGATGAAGATGGTCCCATCCTGGACTATCTTAATTTTGCTGGAACTGCTCTCTGGATTTGTGTTTCAAAGGGCCTACCTTTGGGGGGCGGGAGAAGCATGCCTAGGATTCCAGGCTGTCAGGGACTAGCAAGGTGGAGGAGTTTTGGGGCTTTATTTTGCCTTTACTGCTCTGGCTACAGGATTACAGAGGTTTTGGGTAGTCTTCTCCAAAGCATTTTTATTTTTGGAGTGTGATTTTTACAGATTGCAAAGCTAATCGGCATGGTGGTAGAAATGATTGAATGCTACCTTGAACCTTCCATTGGTTGCCAAATGTGACCAAAAGTAGTTTATTGTGTATCTGTCTTAGGGTTACTATTGCTATGATGAAACACCATGACCAAAAGCAAGTTGGGAGGGGGAGGGTTTATTTAGTTTACACTTCTGCATTACTGTTCATCATCAAAAGAAGTCAGGACAGGGAATCAAGCAGGGTGGGAACCTAGAGATAGAAGCTGATGCAGAGGCCATGGAGGAGTGCTGCTTACTGGCTTGCTCCCAGGGCTTGCTCAGCCTGCTTTCTTACAGCACTCAGACCAGCAGCCCAGGAATGGCACCACCCACCGTGGGCTGAGCCCTCCCCCATTGATCACTAATGGAGAAACTGCCTTACAGGCTTGCCCAGAGCCTGATCTTATGGAGGCATTTTCTCAGTTGAGGTTCCCTCCTCTCAAAGGGCTTTAGTTTGTGTCAAGTTGACACAAAACTACCCAGCATAGTATCCTGGGGAAGAAGGCCAGGGCAAACTTAGAAGTGACGGTTCTATTTCAGGGGTGGAATGACTTCAAAGTAGACCGTGAGAAGAGGAGGAAGTTGCTGTGTGTGATGATGAGGAGTTCAAGTATCAGGAGTGGTTGTGTAATCAGGAAAGGGTGGGCTGCCTGTGCACCTGTGTGTGAGTGTGTGTGTGTGTGTGTGTGTGTGTGTGTGTGTGTGTGTGCGTGATGGTGAGGGAGTTCAAGTATCAGGAGTGGTTGTGTAATCAGGAAAGGATGACTGCCTCTGTGTGCACCTGTGTGTACCTGTGTGTGTGTACCTGTGTGTGTGTATAACTGTGTGTGTGTGCACCTGTGTGTAACACATAAAACAGACCTTTGGGCTCCTCAGAAATCTTCAGAGGTACGTAGATTTAACCTGTTCCCAACTTGCTCATTCTCTTTCCCAGTGGTTCCCAGTCTCCTGAGACCACCACCACTTCTGGTTTTAAATGAAAATCCTGGCATGCTTGTGAACTTTCCTTCACACTCACCTCCTGTTGGGCCACTTCTGACCTAGTGTGTGCTGCTACAGGTTAACTCTGCAGTAGGCCTGGTCAGCCTGTGCTTGCTTGAATCTAACCCGACTTCAGAAAGTGTGGCATCGAATCAGCTCTGTAGGACACCAGGCTTGGAAACAGCAGGCTTGGCATTTTTGACGTTTTGGCAACTGTTACCATGGACGTAGTGAAGGAACTCCCAAGAACTAGGAGCAGAATAAGGCTCCTCACCCACAAGGTACATTTTTATTTAAACCAGCCAAGCTGGCAGGCATCTTTATCCCTGTTTTATCTATGAGGAAGTAGACTTGATGTAGTTACCTTGCTCAGGATTTCTTGCTAGATGTTAGGGGCTGGTACTGAAGCTTGTGGTGATATATTGTGTATCCTAATAAAATTTGCCTGAAGATCAGAGAAGCAGAGCAAGCCACAGCCACCACCTCTTAGCTCATCAACTAACTCCTCAGCCTGAAAGAGCTTCAGCCAAAAGGGCTTCAGCTGAAAGAAAAAGCCTTTAGTTCCTGTCTCCTCACGCCTTACATACCTTTCTCCGCCCAGCATTAAAGGCGTGTGTGCTTCCCAAGTGCTGGGATTAAAGGTGTATGCCACCACCGTCTGGCTCTGTGTTACTAGTTTGAATCAATCTCATGTAGTCCAGGGTGGCTTTAAACTCTCAGAGATCCAGGTGGATCTCTGCCTGCTGAGTACTAGGATTAAAGGTGTGTGCCACCACTGCCTGGCCTCTGTTTAATCTAGTGGCTTGTTCTGTTCTCTGATCTTCAGCCAAAGTTTATTAGGGTACACAATATATCACCACAGACGCTCAGCTGTGCAAAAAGCTAGTTCTTGATCTGCTGTAACTATCTTGCCTGTAAAACCAAGATGATGTTGCTTCTCATCCAGGTGATCTGATAATTTATTGAAAGCTCTTTAGCGCCATGCATGGCTTGACATAAATGACATGCAGAATGTCCCTCCCTCCACAGGCTCCCAAATGCTCCTGAAATCAGCAGTGTGGTTCATATCTTTTAGAACTTCTCTCACCTTTCCGAGGGTGTGTATTGTGATAGCCAAGCACTTCTGACCTGTTTGGAAAGGGACTTGGGTAATTTATACATTACTGGGCTCCACTCAAAACAGGAGTATGGTGGCTCAGCCCTATGATTACATCTGGCTGTTAGAATGTGTTAGCCTTGCCCCACCCTGGTTTGGGGAATCCAGAGCTACCCTTAGACCCAGGCTTATGGGGGCACTAAAAGCAGAGCAGACTTGGCAACCCATTCTATTATCCTATGAAGGGGAAACATGCCAGCTGAAAGGTCAGGAACCCAATTATAAAGTATTCCCAGATAGCTGAGCTCCAGGCATACAAGGTGAGATAAAATCCATTAGCCTGAAATCTCGGGTTAGTCACAGCCCCCACCCTTCTTAGAGGCATGGGTGGTGGCCAGTCCCTTCCACCTGCCTGGGGACTTCAGTGCATAAAATGCGGTGAGGGAGGAAAATGCTCGTCACTGTTTCCGGTGGGAGCATCCACTGTGGGTGCTGCCCAGGGCTCATTCTGGACATCATCCGTGGCTGCCTCAGTTAAAGGGTCGGACTGGTTGCTCCCCAGGAGGCTGAGAGGGCGTAACTAGTACAGAAATAGAGAAATGGATGCCTGTATGCGTGTAGGCACACTCAGCTACCCCACTCTGAAAAGCTATCGACAAGTATGTTCGAAGGTTTCGGCAGCATGGACAGACATGCACCGCTGGTCACTGAAACTGGATCCTCCGCTTCAGTCCCGGAAGGAGGGGGGCTGATTTGGGGGAGGGAGAGTGTCTTAGGGTTTCAGTTGTTTTGAAGAGACACCATGACCATGGTAACTCTTCAAAGGGAAGCTGGCTTACAGTCCATAGCGGGATGCAGGGTGGCCCACAGGCAGACAAGACACTAGAGAGGGAGCTGAGAGGTCTACATCCAGGTCAGCAGGCAGTGAGACACGGGGCCTGACTTGAGCATCTGAGACCTCAAAGCCCACCCCCCCAGTGACCCACTTCCTCCAAGGCCACACCTCCTAATAGTACCATTCCCGATGATCCTATGGGGGCCATTTTCATCCAAACCACCAAGAAAGCCTGCCTCTTCAGCTGTCCTTTGGCCCAGTAAGGGGAAAACCACCCTAATGTAGTCAGAAGAGGACTCGTTGGACTAGTAGCCTTTGGGGGTAACGGATGAAAGGCAGAATGAACACACGGGTAGTAAGGGCTTGGGAAAACACTTCCAATGATGAAGCCTGGGGTAGATGAGTGGAAAACACCCGTGACTGAGAAGCCGGGTGGAGAAGTAGCTCCCAGTGTTTTCACTGGGGGGTGGAATCATGCATGCAAGGACCATAGGTTGGTGGATGTGATGTGCACTTCTTCCTGAGGGCCAAGGCTGTCCCTGGAGACTTTCACCATACCTGGCCTTTGAACAGCTTCTTGCTGAGTAGAGCCCTTGGAGTCCTGAGTTCTGGGCAGGGGGCAACAGGAAGCTGGCATGCTATCAGGACAGATTCTGGGTTCTTGTGGTCATCTCTGAGCATGTCACAGATGGATACTGTATCCTCCAGAAGGAGAGAGGACCCAGACCCTTATGTACTGAGGCTACTTCACGTAGGTCAGGCTAATTCTGCTTGTCTGCATCACCTGCTTCACTCATGTCAGCCCCGTGTGGCAAGTTTTATTCTTGTCATTTGTGGATCAGTAGATGCATTTAGGGAGGCAAAAAGACTTTGTGAAGGTTTCCCACGCAACATATGGGAGGCAGCATTTGAACCCAGAGCTATATGATTCTTAAACTACCCATATACCCTGCTGCCTGGATATGCCCTGTTAAATCAGAATTCTTAAAACACTAACCAAGGACCAACCCAGTACATGTTGGTGGAATCCTGGATAGGTTGAGAGTCTGAGAATTTGGAGCAGAGAACTGTGAGACTTAAGGGGCTAAGATTCTCAAGCCTGAAGAAGAGAATGGTAAGAGTCATGGTCTTCTAGTGTCTGTGACCCAGGAGACCAACTCTTCATCTGAATGAGTAAGCTTAAGATGCAGCAGTAGGGATGCTGTGAAGGAACACATGGGAATTCCTTTACACACGAGCGTCAGTTCTTGAAACATTCCTGTGATCCTTCAATACATATTTGCAGAGGAGATGGTTTCGCTGCCAGATGCTGGGGATAAAATGGTGGTTGAAATACTGGCTAACATCCTTGAGAGGGTTCAATTCTGAGGGGCAGGAAACAGACCCATCAACAAGCAAAAGGGAGTGTGTGCCTGGCTCCCACCCCACTCTGGCTCAGGGCAGGCCTCCTAGTGAGGGCTAAGTGGAGATCACGAGAGCTCATGAATAAGGAGGAGGGAGCCAGGAGAAGACAGATAAGAAATGAACACAAAGCCATCTGCGGGCACTGGGACAGAGTTCTGTGGGGTGTGAGGGCAGCAGGTGGGCAATCCATCTTTGTGTCTTTGATTCTTACGCACAGCTCAAGAACAACTGTCTGAAGGCAAGGGGATACGTGTCTTGATCTTATGTAGAATCACATCTGACATGTTGATTGGAATCTAAGGCACAATGTATGTTAACTGTGGAAATACATCTTAGGTGTCACATAAGTCCAACATGGCCAGTATGTCCCCAGATGGTTGGACCAATCATGCTTTATCTGATTGAGCCCAAGTTTAACCAACTGGTTTCTGTTGGGGGGTCTGTGATATATAGAACACTAGGATCCCTGTATATGTCAGTCAGGGATAACTGACTAGAGCTCTGTGTCTCCACGCCTAGAGAGAATGGAATTCTGGCTCTCCTTGCTCGCTCGCGCTCTCTCTCTCTCTCTCTCTCTCTCTCTCTCTCTCTCTCTCTCTCTCTCTCTCTCTCTCTCTCTCTCTCTCTCTCTCTCTCCCTCCCTCCCTCCCTCCCTCCCTCCCTCTCTCCCTCCCCATCTTTCTTTCTTTTTCTTTTTGGTTTTTCGAGACAGGGTTTCTTTGTGTAGCCCTGGCTGTAGACTAGACTAGCCTTGAACTCAGAGATCCGCCTGCCTCTGCCTCCCGAGTGTTGGGATTAAAGGTGTGCACCACCGCTCTCCCTGCTTGGCTACATTGTGACATTAGTGAGACCATCAAGAAGAATCAGACCCACTCTGTGTATTACGAGGTACTCTTGACGGACCTGTCTCACTGGCTGCAGGTTCATTCCAGAGCAGGGACAGGAGCCCTTGAAAGGCAGAGGTGCTTATAGCATTATTTGTCTCCCCTTCAAAGGTTCCAGGCTAATAGTTGGAATTCATAAAAGCCAGCTGTGAGAATGGTGTGACTATAGATTCTGTAGTATTTCTGGGTCCCCAGTCTTTTTATAGCTCCCAGTGCATACTCCAACTAATTATTGAGCAGTGACTTTTGTGGACTTTTTTGTTTGTTTCCATGTTGGATTTGAACCCAGGGCCTCCTCACACATGGTAGGCAAGTGCTCTCCCACTGAGTTATGCCCTGCTGGAAGCTTATGTTTTAATACACATACTGCAAAGGAATCTTGGTCTCAAAGGTGACAATGTAGCCACAGTGGGGCTGACATAACTAAGTTGGGTCATTTTGGCTCTGGCTGATAAGCTTGGGATTTTGAATGTGATTGGATGTCATTTGGTAGTTAGGTGGATTCTTAAAAGAGATCTAAAAATTACCCAGCCATGGATGCAGCAATAAGAATTCAGCGTCTTCAGGTGGCAACATTGAAGATGACACTCATTTGGATGATGTGAAACCAGTTTTGTCTCTTGCTGCCATACCTCTTGTACAAGCTTTTCGGCCATCACCATGGTAGCCACCTTGTGTGCATCAGTGGGCAAAAACAGCTTAGCATGGATGCCTGTCAAAGAAGACCCACGGCTGCTTTTCTACCACATGCTGCATGAAACAGTTCTGTACACTTCTGCTCTCCCTTCCTACTTTTCTCTAAAATCTCTCCTGTGAATGCTCTTTCCTCCCTCCCTCCCTCCCTCTCTCCCTCCCTCCCTGGAACATCACGTCATATGCCTTTGATCATTCACATCACATTCTCCTCCTTGGACATTCACAGCACACACAAACATGCACACCAAAAGCTATCAATATTCTTGCCACACATACCATACCCTTGGATGTTCACATCACACCCAAACCTGAGGATGCTTCTGCTATCACACACGATACAAACCTCTGAGACTGATCTGATACATCTGTCCCTCTGATACATTTAGACTCGCATACTACATTCACGTGCATACATCGCTTCACGCATACCTAGAAATTGCTTCGATGGTACGTGTGCGCATTCTTGAGCATTCACATCACAATACGCTCATGAATATTCACCTCACACATCTCAGGTCCTTTGCCTGTTGCTCTCAGATGCCGTGTGTGTGTGTGTGTGTGTGTGTGTGTGTGTGTGTGTGTGTGTGTGTGTGTGTGTGTTTGGGAGAATGTGTGTAATAACCCCGGTAAATACCTTTCTCAAGCTTTCTTGCTGACTGGATTCTCACTGGATTTAGCCAGTAAGATGTAACAGCGAGCGATTAAAGGGACAAGGAGCTAAGTATTCTTTCCTCTCTGTTTTTACACTGCCTGCTCAGCATCTCTGTGGTCCCAGGTTCAGTGGGCAGCCTTCTTTGGGATTCACGTTCCTGCAGGATGGCACACTCCTGGTAGCATCACTCTCTCCCACTGTCCCCAGACCTGGGGGGCGGTGGGGGTGCCTTTACTCTTGTTACTCTCTGAACTGCCTCTCCACACCCTGTTTTGTTTTTCAGCCCTCCTGACAGCTTTGTCCACACTGAAAACTCTTTTGAACTACCTGACGTGGGCTGCGTTTTCCTAACTGCATCCTGATGGATGTTGAGCCAACACCATGATCATGATGGATTTCATTGTGACACTTATACATGTATGTAAAGTGTTTTGATCATATTACTACCTCTTTGTCCTTCTCCTCTTTCCTAGTTATCTCTCTTCAACTTGGGGGCATCTCAATTTTTTTTCTCTAGAGTCCATATATGAAAGAACACACATGATACTTATTTTTTGAGTCTGGCTTATTGCACTTACCATCCATTTTCCAATAAATGACATGATTTTGTTCTTTGTGGCTGAATAGCACTACATTATGTATACATACGGCACTTTCTATGTTCATATGTGAATGGGCACCTAGGCTGATCCCACATTTTGGCTTTTGTGAATAGTTGATGATCAACACAGGCACTCGGGTGTCTCTGACATAGGCTAATTTTGATTCCTTTGCAGAATATCATCAGGAGCAACACTCACAGGAGAACATTCTCAGTCCTGGCCCACAGCCTCTCCTCCAGCTGTGGTCAGATCTGTTGTGTTGAATTGAACCCTGCCTATTCAATATTTGCTGAGTGAATGTGTCCAGTGCAATCCACCCACCCCCTACACTGGTCTAGTGTTTTTCTGGGATACAGGGACCTCTTATGCCTTCTTTAGGTACAAGCCTCATGGCAGTCCCTATCTTCTTGGATAGAGTCCATTTGGAGAATGAACAGTGCCTTTGTGGAAACTGAGAGGGCATTGTATAGGACCAGATTTTTGCATCGGTTGGCTGAATGTAGCTTCAGAAGCAAGTGGTTCATCACTACCTGGCTCCCCAGGAAAGAATGGGGTCATCTTTCTCTCTTCCTAAAGATTTATTGTGTGAGAACTGGTCACTGAATCCAAATCTAAAATCACAGCTCTGACGTGTCCTTGGGCAAACCACAGTTTGCTTTTGGGCTTTCTTGTTCTCAAAATTATGAGGTATTGTTGCCAGTCATTTATTACTGTTTTCAAAATGCCAAGGGAACTGTTTAATCTTGAACAAGTTTTATGCCAGCATGTGGGCCTCATTTTCTTCATTGGCAGTGTAAGGAAGTTGGATTCAGAGCCTGGTCAGGGCAGCTGTTGGTTCCTGAGCATCAGGGATCTGGCCGGTCTCTGCAGTACAAGTCATATCCACAAGGAGGTGCCACACACAAATGTATATATCGCCCGGGTACTCCTGGCCAAGAGCTGGGCTGTGGGTCAGAAAGCTCACTGGTTTCTCTCTTTTCCGATGCTTTCTAGCACGTTATTACCGCCAGGTGGCCATCTGCCTATTGCAAACCGAGTCAAGACCCCGATGGCCACTGCAAACACACAACTCTATCGCAAGGAAAAAAGTCACCAACCAAATCGTTAATGCATTAGCTTAATGCATCAGAGGGAGCTGACAGGATTAAGCTGAGATCACTAAGAGGGTGCGGGAACTCGGGAGAGGTAAAACGTGAAAGGGTAGGAAGAACTGGGGAGAAGGGCATGGGTACCAGCATGCAAGCGGGTTGCCGTGTGCTTGATTCGATTTCTCGTATTTTTCCTAGAAGGGATGACTTGCTAGATTGGCCCTGTCGTCCAGTGTCCCACATCTCTCTGGTACTCACCAGAGATGATGCCAGAGGAAAGCAGGGTTGAAGAAGATCTCTAATTGACAGATGAGGGGAGACCAGGGCCGGGGAGTGGAGCGGCTTGCTCGCTAGTCCTTGGCAGAGCTGGGTCTTCTGTCCAGTCCTCATGTGCCAGGATGCCAGGCTCAAGCAGAACACCCACGGTCCCGGAAGCAGTCAGAAGAGTGGGGTACCCTAGCATGGAGTGGGTTTGGGTGATTCTGTTTGTCCCAGCTCCTGGCATGTGACAGGAAGGCAGTGCTGACCTTGGCTTCACACGCAGCGGAGAGTGGAGCGAAGTGGGCTCTTTGAGTCACCTGCTTCTAGGCCTCTTGTTATATCTGGGGGTAATGAGGCCCAGAGAAGGTTGTCACTCGACAAGGTCTTAGGATGGAATCAAAAGCAAGAGACTAGGACTCCTGATTCCCACCCTGGGCTTTTGCTCAGATGTCCTGTGGGGCCTACTTGGTTCTAGCTTGGGATCCCTGGTGTTTGCTGGGAGCCTCTGGGCCTCCCCAATTGCCCTCAAATACTAGCTTCCTAGGAGCCAGGCCTATCCCTTGGCCAGCATCTCCTCCCCTGCTGGCCAAGTTCCTTGGCCTTTGTGAGACCTGTTGGGTAGAGCAGGAGATTACCCAGCATGCCAGGCCTGCGGAGGCCAGAGAACCAGGCTCTTGGCTCTGCACAGCTTTTCCTGGGATTACAAGATAATGCATTTGAAGAAACATTAACGCATCCAAGTTTATGGATTATATGGAAACAAAATCGTAATAATCTCCTCAGCCATCTGGTCTTTGATGCCACTTAGCCAGGACCTCCCAGAAAACCCTCTGGCCCCCACACAGGGCTGGGGCCAGGGATGGCCATTCTCCTCATCCCTTTGGTTAGGCCAGCATTTTCCAAGGGGCTTGGAAAGGCCAGGACCGTTTGTGTCTTCAGTGTCAGAGAGGTGGGCACGACAGCTGTAGCAGAGCAGAGATGTGGAAAACCATTCATTACCAATAAAGCTGCCTATGGGCCGCCGACCTGTTCCTGTAATGAAAACCCGACTTTGCATTTTGGAAAGCATCATTAGGCACACTTCTAGGCTTGGAGTGCTGGGAGGGGAATTTTTCTCCCGATGAGATGCTCAGATTTTCCTTCCTTCTAAAGAATTCTGAGCAATGGAACCCTGGCCCCTCCCTGCCTCCGAACAAGGGGATGAGGGTTCCCTGCAGCTGGGAATTTGGGTGATGTATTCCTGGTTGACAGATTGCAGCGTCGCCTGGAGCTTTGTAAAAAGGAATAAGAGGCTCACGGTAATGGTGCGCAGGGGCAAAGCACATGGATTTTTGGCTCTTGTACACCAAGTGTGAACTCACCTGTCTCTGTATGACCCTTGGCAAGTCCCCTATCTCCTGGGGTTATTACGTGGAATAAGTGTGCTTACTTAAATTTAAAATTTATTTGTCTATTTGTACGTGTGCAGCAGTGCATGTGTGGAAGTCAAAGAACAATGGAGGGAAGTTGGTCCGTGTTCTCTTTATACCACGAGGGCCCCTGGGACCTAATTCAGGTTGTCAAACTTAGAAGCGAGCACCTTTACCTGCTGAGTCATCTTTCCAGTCCTTGTTTTATCATTCATTCATTCATTCATTCATTTTTGTAGTGCTGGAGATTGAGCCCATAGACTCACATTTACTATGCAAACACTTTATCACTGAACCACTCCCCCATAGCCCTTTAGTGTCTGTATTTAAAGAAGAATCTCCATTAGAAGATTGGTTATTGCCAGGGCCCTGTTCACCCTGTATATGAATGTGGTTGGAGCTGATCGTTCACACCAGTGGCACGCTGGCAAATAAGCAGTTGGAGGTGATGGAAGGTGTGGGGGGGGTAAGTGTTGTTGAAATCACCTCATGCTGATTTCCACAGTGCAAATACTCCCACCAGCCTTGGCTTTGAGGTCCCACTAACTAGAGAGCTGAGAAGAGGCTCACACTATTAGTTCTCCACTGGTTGGTTCCACCAAAGCTGAAGCCTGCCACCCACAGATAGGAGAAGGCCCTTTAACAAGTATTACATGGTTCAGATGTAGCTCAGGGGGAGAGTACTTGTCTTGCACGCACAGGGCCCCCGGGTTGGATGGCAAGCACTGAAAATAGAATGGCAGGTGTTCATACTGGCTGGTAAATGGTCATTTTCTCAAAAGCCCCTCCCTTGCTCTGCTAGCCTTGGCCCTCTTCCAGAGAGCATCTTCATCTCTCGGCGATTCAGCCACTACAACAACTAGTCCCTGCTTCAGTGATTCAGCCAATGTGACTTCTGATTGGTCAAGACTGTGGTGGACCAATAAATAAATGATTTAGGCATTGCAGACCTTTGTCCTCAAAGATGTCAGTCAGGTCAGTCTATCTAGTGGCCCTGATTTATGGGCATAATGCTTGGATTATTACTGCCAGCTACTTTGTGAGGCCCCTCCCCTTACAGTCCCTGAGATGGCTATAAGACAAAGGCCAGGCCTTGTATCTGGAGTCTGAACTGGTGTAATAGGGATGTCTGTCTCCTTTAGAATAGAGTTTGTATATGGTTTGCTCAAATGATTACAAATGCAATCAATATGACCAGCTTCGCTGGTTTGGAATAATATTTCTTTTATTTCTCCAATTAGCTGCTTGAACAGACTTGATTATTCAGAAGTTTATTTAGGATAGCTCTTTTGAGGCTTCTTGCCCCATTGACTTGTTGGCTCCTTATGAAGGAAGTAGTCCTATTTTCAAATGCCAGGCAGGAAAACAATTCAAGTCAGATCAGTTGGCTAGCTGGCAGGCTGGGTTGGTGGCTGCTATTGTGCTTTGCTCAGGACTCACAGCCTGAGTGATGTGCCAAAGTAGTTGGATTCAGGCAATATGGAGCCAGGCAGGCGGTAGAAATGGGTGGGATGGGTTGGAGGTGACAATAATGTGGTGAGGTCTGTGGTGAAGCGGCACATGGATGTCACCAGCCACCTGTGGCCCCATGGGAACCTGGGCCTTGCGTCAACAATCTGTCTTTTATTTTCAAAAGAAACCACATATATGTGGGGATTTATTTAGGGGGCATAGTTGGCATCCAATAAAACACAAATGTAATGAGTTCTCACATATTTACACATTCTGTGTATGTAACCCTCATTCATGTAAGGATCTGGTCAACTTCTACATTGAGAAATACCCCCTTGCTTCTTTCTGGTCACTGGGTTCTCCTGCCCCCACCAGGGATAACTATTGACTTAAAAAGACAGAGATGAACTTCCTTTGGCCTTGGAGTTCCTGTAACAACTGTACAGGAGGCATTCTTTTGTAACTATCCTCTCAGGCACTTTCTGATCTATGCACATTGTTGTTTTTTATTTTGTTTTGAGACAGGGTCTCACTCTATAATCCAGGCTGGCTTTGAACTCGCCACCTTCCTGCCTCAGCTTCTCAAGACTTTGGCTTTCCATGCC